GAAAACAAGCCAAAACTTCTCATTTGTCAATAAACACTTCGCATGCCAATAGGTCTTCCGTGTTCTGCAAACCATTCATTTACAGTGGACCTGATAGTGGAGAAACGGTCCCTTAAGGCCAATAATCTTAGGCTGCGATCTTCGCGGTCTGTTGTTCTACGGCGGCGTCCAGTGCCCCTTGCTCTTTGCGTACGGCCTTCTCGAAGCCATGCCTGACAACACCTAACCACAGTGTCTACACTTCTTTGCACTCTAACTGCAGTTGCCCGAAAAGAATGTCCAGCTTCCCGAAGTCCCACTATACGGCCCCAATCAAACTCACTAAATTGACGAAATCGTACAGATCTCCGTACTCTAGGCATCGTAACCGATCGTAAAGGATGTCGAGAACCAAAATCCGCCAACGTTGATTCTTTACTGCGGCTGAATTATTCATTTTTAGAGCGTTAGTGAATTAAAAAAAAGCAGTATAAAAACCGGAATGTCCAACTGATAAGGCTGAAAATTTTTTCACTTGTTATTTACAGTAAGATAAATACATTCACCAACTTTTATTAAAATAAAACCATTTAAACTGGGTGTTCGGATTTATATGTCACTTAGTATAGCATAACACAAATATTGGAGTAGAAGCAATAATAAATATAACTCGATCGACAAAACACTTCTATGAAACAACCGAAACAAGGGTATAATAACTGGAAAAACGCTATTGGACATAGAGGGAAGTGAGAACATAAGTACATCATGCAAAGTCAAAAGTGAGTGGGTACTAGGTAGGAAATTCGATGGAACGAAGATATGAATAAAATGGTACGACACACCAATTGCATGCGACAATCACTGTTTGGAACGACTCTTAAAAAGATGGTGCGACAAATCATGAGTTTGATAGGCAAAGAACGACACAAAGAAACAGGCGACTGGCCTAAACTGAGGAAGGAAGAAGAGAAATTGCAATTTCATTTATAACTCAAAGAGAAAGCAGCAATCGCCCGTATGAGCAGTTGCTTATTGAGCGCGCTAGCTTCTCAGACTAGCCTAAGCTGAAAGAAAGGGACATGCTGAGTGTCACTCTTGTGAGTGATCTTAATCTAGTACCTGAATTAATTGTTTATATTATCGCTTAAGACTATGGTAATCCTATCGCGAGGTCACATGGCAAATTGCGTTTTAACTTACTGACTAGCTAATTACATGATAAATATAACAGGATTACTGACACATTAGTGTGTATTTTAATACTTCCGCTGCATCTAACACTGAACTCGTGGAACACTTCCTTTGGGATAGGGAGAGACGAATGTCACGCTGAATGATTCGATTGGGAACGTAGCATGTTGAATCAATAAGTATTATCTGGACCTTGTTCTGAAGCTGCTGAAGATTGGCAATATAACTGGATATCATATATCCAAATTTCAATGACCATTTAGATGCCCTAACAATAATCCAATACATCTTTCTCAATTTGATGCCCGTGCTATCCCTCATGTAAGTAGCCTTCTGTATGAATGGATTCCGAGATTCTTCGCATGATTTTATTGTGAACTTTGTAAGTTGTTGATAGTTACTGGGAGACAGATTTTTCTACATGAGGTGAGTGTAAAAATGTGGGTTTACTTTCATTAAACCTTTTGCGCCATTTCTTTAGGAAAACCTCAATTTGAAACAAGTTTCTCAAGAGATTTTGCAATGTCTGAATTCTACTGGTTCACTAAGATAGTGGTAGTGTAACAAGGTCGCGCGAGCCTGTAAACTAAAGAAGCCCATGGCAGGCACGTGCTTCGCCGTCCGACTGGGCGCAAAGAAGCACTGCTAACGAAGCAATGAATATTTGATTAACCGTTCGCCTTTGACGCGACAACTTTTGATGAGTTAGCCACTTTCCCGTATGAGAAAAGTCTGATTTTGTGACATCCGAGCGACAAGGCGAAGCAAAAATCGACGAAAAAAAAATGTTTTGACTGCTCGCATGGAGAAACGGGACGCCTTGCTTTCAGAATAAGCTTCAGTGTGGTGCTGCAGTCTTTGAAGAACGTTATAGTTGCCGGCTCGTTGAGGAGAGGGGAAAACAACTTAGGCACACTAGAGGGCGATCTGTTTTTAGCTCCATGGTCGAACATTGCGATATCACTGCGTAACAGGCAGCCTGCGACATCGAGTGCACTCAACCTCACTCAGCGACGCCCTGTTAGAATACATCCACTCATCTCGGGCCAGCCGCGATTAAACCGCTAAGTCTACGCTTCTTCTAATGAGAGCTGAGCGGTTTAATCGCTGCTGGCAGGAGATGGGTGGATGTATTCTGGCAGCATGTAGCTGAGCGAGTTTGAGTGTACTCGGTGGCACAGATCGTCTGCTACATGAACGTATCAACTGGTTAAGTTTACACCGTAGGTAGACAAGTACAGGTACAGATCCTCATAGTACTGTGCAAATGCAGTCCTGCGTCCGTTAACAACGTGCTATGCATGCCTACGTATATATGCCATATAAACGCTTGGCTACCGTCGGTCTGAGTATTCTTGAATGATATATTCCCGCTTCAGATATCGCTTCTTTACCCCCAATGTTGACTCTTGATAAAGATAAAAAACGTTCTTCTTACTTCTTATCTACCTTGTTGAATCAGCGCTATCAACTATCATTAAAACTTCTATTTGGCTTCACCTTGTGTCACCAGAGTTATTTCGAGAGTTGAATCTGACATCACTTTTAAGGACTTGAGTTTTTTGTATTGAGCTTATGCCATCCAGAGTATCGGGATTTTAATCATGATATTACAATTTCTCAACGCATCAGCAACAGCATGGTTTTTTTTAATGACACTGGGTCCTAAAAAAAGGTTGCTTCGACTTCGTCAGTGATCTATGGGCCGATGAAAATGCAAAAGGGAATCGAAAAATATAATTTGTTAACTGTAAAATCAATTTTTTAGCAAGGATGAGCCGGTAATATTGTGTCCTGAAGTATGGTTTTTAAGATATAAGGTGTCAAAGGTTTCAAAAACTGTACCCGTCGACAGCAGGGAAATATTAGCAAATTGTCACGGAAAGTTAAACATATATTGATAACAACGATTGAAGTACCAAGAGACAAAAAAGGTGTATTAGCTATATGTACACGATAGCCAATATATGACTGACTGATTTAAAGTGCGCGCCGTTTTTGATACACGCGTTTCAGTAGGTGGCGCTTAAAGGACATCTGTCCAATTCATCATGGAGTGCTACACGTACCCACAACGCTTCCGTATTGATAAAACGTTTTAATTAAATAATGGGTCGATTGTTGCAACGATTCGAACGCTACAACAAGATTTCGGTCGAACACCATTCGTCAGTTGGTACGGTAATTTGAACAAACAGGTGAAGTTTAAGATTGGCCAATTTTGGGCCGTTTTAGAATTGTTCATACTCCGGAAAATATCGAGGGAGTTCGCGAAAGTGTAGTGGAGCACCCTGAGACGTCTACCAGACATCGTTCTCAAGAACTATGTATTCGTCGCACGTCAATATGAACTATTTTAAGAAAAGAGTTGCATTTTCGGCCATACAAAATTCAGTTAACCCAATAAATGCAGTCTAGTGACCATTAAAGTCGCTGACAATACATTCGTGCAATATTGCAACTACAATGAGCGATGAAGCCCACTTCTATATGAATGGAAGAAAAATTGTCATATCTGTCCATTAGAGAACCCTCGTGTCATCCATCACCGACCACTACATCCTCATCGAGTCACAGTTTGGTGCGGCGTTTGGTATGAAGGTGTCATTGGACCGAACTTCTTTGAAGACACTGCAGGTAATTCTATTACTGTGACTCGCGAGCGCTACCGTGATATGGTGCAAAACTTTCTGCCTTCTCAAATCCAACAATTTAACCTGTAAAACACGTGGTTCCAGCGGGACGGGGCAACTTGCCACACAGCTAAGGAAGCAAGGAAAAGCACGATCATCTTCTCATGCTTCTGCAATGGATACCAGAAGCATTTCATGATTTTTATAAAAATATTCCTGTGCTGCGTCAACAAGAAGATGATGACGACGACGACGATTGAATATATATATTCTCCAGATGTCATTTTTTGTAATAATAAAATGTAGCCTATTTCCACCAATTGTACTTACTGTGTTTCATCCTATGCTGCACATGGATTTTATTATCATAGTAAATAGTCGTAACCCACAATATAATCTGAATATCAAATTCTGAGATCAGTAACATGAAGCATTGCGTGTTTTGTGTACCATATAATATGTTTTCCCAAAAAAATATATTCGCGTATTAACAGTAACATGAACAAAAAGCTATTCTGCAACTAACTCAATATTTAATTTGCTTGTTCTCTGAATTGGAGTTACAAGTATATACCTCTAAGTCACAGATATACGTGTGTATTATTCTATGTTGCAAGATATATCATAGGGAACGTTTACGTAACAATATCACATCAACTTGTACTGGGCACAAAATACCAATTTATTTTGCGAACATTTCAACTTTTGTAAGCACCTTCGCCACGCGAAAGCTGAGTTGTAACACATCTTGCAACTGACCTTTTGGTAGCAATCTAGCAAATACGATACGTAAATTCATAGTCTATCTGACTAAATTCACAAGCAATTATACTTACAATGTATACGTATACAAGAGGTTTGTTCGAACAGCCATCAGTGACCTGTCAGTGACTGTGACATATCCAGCCGTGTGAATTCCGTCTATATAACATAGCAGAACGAACGGAATTTTTGTGGCGGGACCTTAGACACCACCGCTGACAGGTTGGGGACAGCTGTCCGAACAGGGCTTATATGTGAAAAAGTTACAATGTTTCTGGTGCTTATAAGTTCGATATTGTTAGTAGTTTATTTACATGTCACTGACAGCTGATATTCGTTAAAAGTATGAAGTGTACTCAAAAAGACAGTGGGATCTGGAATGGATCTACATAGAGCCTAGGCTATTTTCCTAATGTTCATGGTTATTTTAAGGCTCAAGGTGTTAGGCTCTGTTGTCAGATTCACCAGAGCACTGGCGTACAGTGTTGCCACAGGTGACAGATTGCGTGCTATCTGTTGTTAGGAAGTACAGCCATAGTCAACTACAAAACGTATTCTTTGTTGGTTTTGGGATTGCAGAGTTGCTGTGAAACGAACAAGAACATGTGATGTGGGTCAGATGTCCCGCATGATTTTAGTTCGTAATTAAGAACGTGTGAAACTATCATGTTAGCTTCTTCAGGTGGAATACGCTGATTCATGGCTGATCTGATGCTCTCACGTTAAAATACAGCATCCATTATCCATTATCTGCAATTTCGACAGCTGGATGCGAAAACCTGCTAATCACCTTGAGGCTTGTTTCTCCTGGTATCAGTTCAGATACCATCCCCTGTGCCTACTGTTATTCATGATAGCATGGATTGTTTTCATTGCGCAGATGTTCTCGCAAAGTTTATCTAGTAAACAGGCACGTACCGAGAGTCGTAATTAGGTCAATCCTCCCGGTTTACCCGACAGGTGCGATAATCTACAGTGTATCGGGTATCATATATAGGGTGGTCTATAGAATAGATACAATAGGTCTAGGGTGCAAAGTAGATTGAAACATAAAGAAAACTTCATAAAAATATGAGCATTAATATGCCGAGATACCCAACAGAGTGTTGAATCTATAGTTTTGAAAAAATCGAGAAATATAGTAGATTAATGTATTGACTAAAAATTCTGTAACTGTAGGACTAATAGATTAGCTGATACATAAATCGTCTAATTCAAGAAAACCGCTAAATCCGCTTTAGAATATCCGCTTTATTATATAGTTTGCTACTGACTACAAAATAAGCAAATTAGGGTTCGTATATGCAGAAAGTGGTAGGTGGTAACATTATGTTTGATAAATTTTTATCGAGAAAATCTGAATTTAATAATTTTTTGAAAAACATTGGAATTTTCTTGGATTACGCTGATTTTGAAAATTATTTCGGAGCATTTGGCTTTACAATTTAGATGCACTTGCAAGATTAAAGTGTAGCGCTCCTTTATTATTTACTACACCTCTCAAAAAAAAATACATTAACGATATCAGTTTTCTGAACGTAACCTACATAGCTCTTCCACTTCATTTTCTCACCTTCTTCCACTACCATTCCGAGTTTTGGTGGCCATATCTTGTTACTACATCAGATTCATTATCATATCTACTATGTTCTATTTGATATTCAGATACTTTTGACAGTTTTGCATGAGGTTACACTTGTATGAGGTCTTTGCTGCCTGGTCAAATTTTAATAAAGGGTGGGCCATCAGTTGTTTTTTTTGAGTTGGTATTATTTTGTCAATTGGTGATACTTGCATGCTCAGCATATTGACAGATATATTGTGTGAAACTTGCGCTGTGTGTAATCTTGAACAAAGGTGGGAAATATTAATTCAAAGTGTGTTGCAGAAACTTTGCAAACATTGAAAAGACTATTTGGTCGGAATGAAGCCCCATCCGCGACTGGTTCACGAAGATTCGTGAAGAAGGTTCATGAAACTGGCCTGCTTGTGGATAACAGAAGGTATGAGCGTGTTTGACCCGCACAAACAGCCGAAATCATTGCTGCTGTTGCCCAGAGTGTGCGTTAAAACATCACAGAACATGTAGGCATCAGTCGCACTTCTATGTAGAGAATATTGCATAACGACCTGGGATTATTTCCTTACAAAGTGCAACTTGTACAAGAAGTGAAACAAAAAGACCATCCGCTTCGATATCGTTTCTGTGTGGGCTCAAAATCAATTGGAAGCGGACGTCAATTTTGGTCGCCAAATAATCTTTTCGGACAAAGCCCATTTCCATCTGGAAGGTTACGCTAACAAGCAGAACTGTAGGATTTAGGGCTCTGAAAATCCACGAGTAACTGTTTGTTGTGGCTGTTGGAGTGGTGGGATTATTGGTTCCTACTTTTTTCAAGATGAAGATGCTAACAGCTTGACGGTAAACGGGGAACGCTGTAGAGACATGTTGAGGAGTTTTTTGTGGCCACTCTTAGACAACATGTATTTGCACTATCTGTGATTTGACGCCCATGGATTACTTCCTATGGTACTGTTAAGGACCGCTGTTACACTAACGATCCTCAAACAATTGATATTCCTGAGGAAAATATCCGTCGAGCTATTGATGAAATAGACCCACAAACTATCGAAAATGTGCTTCAAAATTGGGTTAAGAGGGTGGACTACTGCCAGGCCAGCCGCGGCAGCCATTTAACTGGAATTGTTTTTCATGAACAATCGGAAGGTGTACTCTTTTGAACAAAGTATCGAGTGTTACATATTATTGAAGAGTGTAGTTTTGATACCAATTTAAAAAATAAGCCAAGGGATGGCCCACCCCTTATATATAAAATAAAGACCAACACGTGGTGAGTATGAAAGCGCAATAAAACATGCAAAGGTTAGACGTGGATTTTGTTTCTCAGGTATCAAGGATATATCCAAATTTTATGGATTTAGGGCGATTTGTCACTAAATGAATTTGAAGGTTTCTGAACTTAACTCACTCATGAAACTAGGGGATTTTGGAACCAACCCGAGGAATAAACAACGGTTTTGGAGGTGATTTAACAAGTTATGAAACGGAGTTTAGACTTGGGGTTCGGAAAGTAGGCGACATACAAATGTATGAAAGTGTTCGTGTTTGAGACCATCCAGTGGCATAGGAATTGGGTAATTTTGACCCTTCCAGGAGAAAAAGGAAAATTATTCCTTCCACCACTGATATCACGAAGAACCATGTCACGCATTCCCGTTGGTTTGTCTGTCCACTAATCTTGGTTTCGTGTGTAACTCGGAGAGTAATTCTCTGATTTTGATGATAAAAATACTACTATACTAAGGACAAACTTGACAGCTATTGAAGATCAGGGGCAGAGCTGACGGAAGAAACGGATACCACTTCCTAAAACCTCATTTTTTTAAGTTTCATGGGCGTCTGTCGTTTTCAAAAACATTTTTGTAGGGGCTGCTCTTGTGTGTGTGGGGTATATCTCAGTTTCTTGGTGTTAGTGTATTTATACGCTTCCAGGCCCTGTAAAGCTACACATCTATCAGACATATTTTGCTCATCACCCATTTATCCGTACATTTGCACTAGGTTGAAATATATTTCCAGCAGACGTATCGCGTATAGGTCACATTTGCCATGTGAGACTGAGATGTAAATACTGCATCTTTAGTACCGGCGAAAGACACTAAAAGTGTTACACCCAGAAAAAACAATTTCTTCAACTTGTTTTTTTTTTGACAACATAATGAATATATTTAAAGTATGATGAGCCAACAATGTCAACGTTTTATCTTTGTGCCTGTTCACCTTTGTTAAAATAGTATCTCTTAGTTTTTGTGAAGAAACCAGTTTCTGAGAGCTGAGTAGTACAGATATTTTTAGTTGTTGCCATTTCATTTGCGTGTGTTAAGCATAACAAGATGCCCGGACGACGTCCAAATTATCACCATGTTGGCGACTTTGACAGGGGTAGAATTATTGCTTATCGAGTTGGTTTATCCTGTCGTGAAATTAGTGGAACACGAAAAAGGCCAACTGGTCCACCGAGGCGTAACACAGAGCATCAAGATAGGCGCTTCAGACAACTAGCCCTACGAGAACTTTTGCTACTACGCGTCATATCGCTGAACAATGGTTTGGAGAAGAAGGTAGAGCGGTTACTATCCGAACATTCTATCGCCGCATTCGAGCCTTTGGACTTTTTTCATACCGTCCACGGCTACTGCTTCCTCTCACTGCGGACCACTGTCGTCAACGTTTGAACTGGAGTAGAGGACGGCAACATTGGGAGACACAATGGCATAATGTCATCTTCAGCGACGAATCGCATAGGTACGCACGATGGTCGTGGAATGGTAAGACGTCGCCATGGAGAACGCCATGATATTGGATTTGCTGTTGAAAGGCATGTACACAGGATTATTGGAGTAATAGTTAGGGGGGCTATTGCCTAGGATAGCCAATCACCCCATCTCTTTGTTTAAGGCAATATGATTGCTGCGCGTTATGTTGATGATATCCTACAAACCACTCTGCTGCCGTATCTAGAAGGCCGTCCACACGTCGAATTTACGAATTTATATCAAAAATCAGGCGTTAATGTTTTGCCGTGGCCACCGCATTTAAATCCCATGGAACGTATGCGGGATATGAGGAGACTATCCACTTTGCACCATCCGCCACAGCTAATCCACCGAGTTCGAGTTGCCTGGAATGAGGCGCCACAACCAGGCATCGATCATCTCATCTTGTCGACGCCTAGATGAATACAGCAGTGCACTTAGCTGTGGGGTCACCCAACACATTATTATTTTTTTTTTCTTATTACTTATCAATAAAATTTTGTGAGAATGTTATCGTTTCATTCTTGATGTAAGACTACCTCACTGCCAAAAAATCTGGTTGAAGAAATTATTTTTGCTGGGTGTAACACTTTCAATGTCACTGAGTATATTTTTACATGTGAACCTGCAGCGGAATAGATGAAAAAATATTATAGGCATGCAAAGTATTCCCTGCAGGTAGGATTCCATGATATGCCAGATAGAACCATATAAGCATTAAATATACTAAGTGACATATAAATCCGAACACCCAGTTTAAATGGTTTTATTTTAATAAAAGTTGGTGAATGTATTTATCTTACTGTAAATAACAAGTGAAAAAATTTTCAGCCTTATCAGTTGGACATTCCGGTTTTTATACTGCTTTTTTTAATTCACTAACGCTCTAAAAATGAATATTTGAGCCGCAGTAAAGAATCAACGTTGGCGGATTTTGGTTCTTGACATCCTTTACGATCGGTTACGATGCCTAGAGTACGGAGACCTGTACGATTTCGTCAACTTAGTGAGTTTGATAGGGGTCGTATAGTGGGACTTCGGGAAGCTGGACTTTCTTTTCGGGCAATTGTAGTTAGAGTGCAAAGAAGTGTCGACACTATGGTTAGGTGTTGTCAGGCATGGCTTCGAGAAGGCCGTACGCAAAGAGCAAGGAGCACTGGACGCCGCCGTAGAACATCAGACCGTGAAGATCGCCGCCTAAGATTATTGGCCTTAAGGCACCGCTTCTCCACTACCAGGTCCATTGCAAATGAATGGTTTGCAGAACACGGAAGACCTATTGGCATGCGAAGTGCTTACCGACGAATGAGAAGTTTTGGCTTGTTTTCATACCGGCCACACTGGGTCCTCCCTTTAACTCGAGAACACCGACGTAATCGCCTTGAGTGGTGCAGACAACGGTCACTGTGGGATCAGGAATGGAACAGTATTGTCTTTAGTGACGAGTCTCGATTTTGTTTAGGCATGCACGATGGTCGTGCCAGGGTTAGAATGCGACGTGGTGAAAGGAGGAATCCACAGTTTTTTGTTGAAAGAGATGTTCATCACACTGTTGGAGTTATGGTTCGGGGTGCTATAGCTTATGGTTCCAGGTCACCTTTAATCTTCATCAGAGGTAACATGAACGCGCAGCGTTATATCCACGAAGTTCTAGAACCCCATCTTTTACCCTATCTTGACACCCTGGCAGATCCAACCTTCCAACAAGATAATGCCCGACCACATGTTGCAAGAGTCACAATAGACCTCTTTCAACATAATGATGTCACATTGTTACCATGGCCACCAAGATCTCCCGACTTATCCCCAATTGAGCACGTGTGGGATATGATGGGTAGGAGATTGCTTAATTTGCAACGTCCTCCTCAGACTCTAGAAGCACTTCGAGAGGAGTTGGTGGTTGCCTGGAATGAGATACCACAGGAGGACATTGACCACCTGATCAGAAGCATGCCTAGGCGCGTTGGAGAATGCGTAGCACATTAGGGTGCATCCACACATTATTAAAGGTCAAAGGGCTTTAAAGCAGTGCAATCATTTTGAAATTTTTATCATTTACTTACTATGCTTCATTAAGTACTTATACAAAATTTTATTAAAATAAAACCATTTAAACTGGGTGCTCGGATTTATGTCACTTAGTATATCTTTTACTGACGTTTTGACCACCACGGTGGCCCTTTCCTAAGTACAATATTGAGAATAACACTATATTTTTGATGTTTATCTGTCTTCTGAAAATTTTAGAAACAATTGTGGAGAGGCTCAGGGGTGATCCTTCCTTGTAAGGTAGATGTAATGTTCAAGGTTAAACAACTTTTTTAAAATGAAGTTGGAGTCTGCCTTTATTACTTCTGAAGTAACTGTTGGGATTCTACTTGATTACATGGTTTTGGCAAAGAAAATTATATCTTCACGTCCAAATAGAGCATGGTGTTGAGCATCTTTTTGGAGATTCAGTGGCTCAGTTGCATTACGAGTACTCTGAGAGGACCTTGTTGCCGTTGCTAACCTATATCTAACCAATCACAATCATCCAATCATTTCACATCAAGTAAAAATCTCACTACCCTGTATAATGCATCTCGTTCCGCCTGAGCAAAAACAGCCGCAACTAAATTGAAAACGTATCGTTGAAATATTAAAACGTTATCCATTATTGAATTACTCCCAGTTAAAACATAAAGGTTAATCAAACTTCCGTCAGCTTTTCAATTGAACTGAAATACACTGGACATTTACCAGTATGCCTGCATATTCCAGAAGCACTTCAAGTCTTTTATTATACTGCAAAGTGGCTATGTTTTTGGGGGTTTCACCACATTTTTCAATCAATAGTTCAAAGAAGACATCATTGTTTTACACATTATTTCCCATAATATCACTAAGTATATACCTTTCACTGATATTTTATTCTTTAGCGATTAAATGCAGACATGTGGAAGGCTCTATGGTATTTAAATATACGGAAAGATTAAATTTTATCTCCCAAGTCGTTTTCCTTCTTCCGCTTTACTATGTGGCACTCAGACATTCTACAAGAAGAAGAGCATTGATCAAACAGATGATTCTGATTGAACGTATACATAGTACGACTCCTTATGGGCAGGCTTTACACAATCGTTCTTCATGTCTAAAACAAGTACTAATGGTTAGTTTGCTTACACTTGTAGCTCAGGCATGGGATATCAGATCATATGGGAACAAGGCTTTTGAATACGCGGATATGAAATTCTTTAGTGCAGCTCAGATAGTGGTTATAATATTGATGTATAAGATACTGAAGATGATCCAAGTGAGATGTGAGCTGTTATCTGTACTTTTGGTAGACATAGTACAAGGAACTTCTCCAGAAAATCACTGGAAGCTTCTGCGCATATGCCATGAATCATGCTGTAGACTGATAGAGTTGTTTAATAAGAATTTCGGAGTTACGGTACTTCTGCTCATGATGCAGACGGTGATGAATGCTTTGAATGCAACTTTGTGGTGTTTAGAAAGAAAGTACAGCCAAGTAGAAGGTATAGAAGATATCGTGGCCAACTGTTTCTTCTATCTTTTGGGGTTGGTGAGTAAGCAATCAAAATATAATTTTTCACCGATACACCACGTTGATACGTGCGTTTTTAAATATATTTCCATAACTACACTCAATTCAATTGGGGAAACTAATTGGTGATCGATCTGTAAAAAAACGATAATGAAAATGGTTGAAGTATCATGGAAATATTTTCAGCCATAGTGAACCTGGTAAAATATTAAAACTTCATCCATTAATAAATGCTGGCATATAAAAACAACGACCCGTTTTTCCAGATCGATTAGTTATTTAAAACTGAAAATACTGCACCTCCCAGAAGTGAGAACATTCAAAACCTGTTTTAGTAGCTTTTGAAGCTGATGCAAAATATAAATAAAAATACTGACCTAAAAAGTGCCTCAAAATAGTGGTTTTATTTATTCAGGAAGAGCGGTTCAACTAATTTATAGTATGAGCTTACGGCGATGAGATGTTCTGCCTATGTGTTTATCGCGACATTGACTTGACTGTAAAGGTTCACTTCAACTGTAAGGTCAGCCTATTCCAACGTCAGTAAATGTCTTAGGATCTAACATGCAGTTAATTAAAACGTTTCTCAATACACTGGTTGAAAATTATACATGTTTTCTGTACGTTAAATGAAGTTTTCACTAACGTTTCGGCCACCTCGTTGGTATTTTAAGTATACATAAAAAAAGTGACATTAGCAATATATTTTGTATTAATTTTTCTCAAATGAGTATACTTTTGATTTTACCGCTACTGCACAGTGTGTTGCAAAAACAGCCTAAGCAGCACCATGCTGAGTCCCAGCAAACTGGGTGCAGACTTCTTGCTTCTAGTCTAGAAACCTGAACTAGCAGATCTAAGTTGTACAGCTCGTCAAGTGTAGGAAGAGATGCGGATTTTGAAAGATGTGAAGAAAGTTCAGGAGCGTGCAGCCATTTCCACCGGAGTTAGTCTATCGACTATTGGGAGGATTCCTCGCGAAATGAAATCGGTTGAAGGTGCTTCGATAGCTATTTCGACACCAAATAAAGAAAGACGAAGAGCCACTCCGAAATCTGATTTTGACGACTCTGATAGGGGATTGCTTCGTCGAATCTATAATGAATTTTAACATAACGGAAAAGAAGGTTCCAACTTTGCGGCGCATGAAATTGTTCAAAGACACAATTACACTGGGTCACATGAAACTTTAAGGGAAGTGATGAGGACAACGGGATATTATTGAAGGAAAGCACGAACTAATAAAAAACTTCTTGTGGAGAAACCCGAGATTCAGCCTCTCAGGAGAAATTTCTGAGAAGGATAAAATAATATAGAGAAAAAAATCATCCTATAATTTATATGTTCGAAACATACATCCATACATCACATGCGCATGAAAAGAGTTGGATCGATAATACCAATGAGGACCTTCACTGGCCAATCTCAAAAGAACAAAGATCTTGTGCATGCTGGTAGTGAAAATGGTTTCGTGGAAAATGCATATCTGAAATTTAAATCCAATAGTAAGTCGGGTGATTATCATAGTGAGATGAACTATAGTAACTATAAAAAATGGCTTCAGGATAAACTGATTCCCAACCTACCGCTAAACAGTGTTTTGATTATAGACAACGCTCCGTACCACAATGGTCAGATAGACAAATGACCTACTATGCGATCTAAGAACGATCATATGAAAGAACAGCTAAGGCAAAATAACAGACATTCCACTGACGACATGTTGAAAATTGATTTGTATAGCCTGATCAAAATGCATAAGCCGGCATATATAACTTATGAAATAGACAGCATTATGGCTGCAAAGGTCATTCTGTTTTGAGATTGCTACCATATCACCCCGACTTGAACCTAGTTGAGTTGGTATGGGCATCTTTGAAACAATATGAGGCTGAGAGAAATATAGATTTTAATCTCAAGACTGTTGACAACTGTTGCGACGCCTTTTCCTCATCTTATCCCACAGAAGAATGGAAAAAGCGATGTCAGCATGCCAAAGGTTTTGAGGAGTATATGGAAATGGAACCAGCACTCGACTTAGTTGTGGATCAAGTAATAATAAACCTAGACGAAGATAGCCATAGCGAAAGTAGTAGCTCAGATTCTGATTCCGAACTTTCAGCATTTGATCCTCCGTGAAACTTCGTGAATCTTTAAAACCAACTGTATCTACTATGATTTTAGCTTTCTGTCCTTACTTTTCATTTGATTGTTTATCAATTGAAGTTATTAACAATTAAAAATAGAATGAGTACCAATCAATTTCAGTCTTATAGCTACATAGCGTGCAATACTTATTTTATGCAATAATTTGTTTTGGTTTCCTTTTGACACATGCCAACAATTTCGATTAAATTAAGCAGGCTTCACATAATATGTATTCCATTATTGATAATATTCGATTAATTTAGGACGCAGACTGTACCACTCCAGATCGAATGGCACGTATTGTACGTCTCTTTTGCTCCGAATGCGTTCTCTCTCTCTAAGGTGCTCAATCCCAGCAAATCCTCATATCTCTTCCTACTTTAGACCCTCTGTACGTACTGAGTTCATTTTATATCTATTCATGAATATTCAATCTGGAAGTGATTTTGGAATCAAGTAACACTAGTTCTTCTGACATTTTGATTTCTTCCAGAGCCTCGCAGGTGCCATCATTGTGGGATGCGACAAGGTAATCAAGGAAAAAGAAAAGTTCACCAAACTGTGTTATCTGTTACAACCTGATGGGACAAAAGGAGATGTCGGCCGAAAGCTAGAAGAAATGGCTCTTTTTTTAGAAAAGCATTCACCGGTTTTCACTGCCGCTGGATTCTTTGTAGTTGATAGACACTTTTGTTCCGCTTTTTTTGGAGCGGTAGCCTCTTACTCGATCATCTGTATACAGTTTGTTGTAGCCAAGTGAAGATAGTGGAGTGAATTGCAAAGACAAGTTGTTACTTTTCTGTTACTCAGTAAGTAAAGGGTACATGGGAAAAAGATGAATGTAACTAAAAGTAAGTTTTGAGAAAAGTGAATTTAAAAGTTTTAAGACTCCTAGACTCGTTGTATAGGGTGAATCAAAGATCTGAGGGAGCACCATAGATTCCTTATTATAAGAAATAAAAAAAAAGTTAAATTATAAATAAAAAAGTATTTTATGATATACAGGGTGGACCAAAGTGAAACCAGACCAAAAATTTCTTAATGAAAAATCGTTTTTATTTTTGTATTTTGAGGTTCTCTTATGATTTAAAACATTTTATGTGTTAGCGTCCATGCCTGAATTCTGAGATACTGAGGGCAGAAACTACGTATTCGTCATATGGGACACCCTGTAAAATGTAAGGGTTGCTCAAACAGCAAAATGCCTGTGTTAGGTTTTACGATCTGTTCTAATATGAGAACTACCTTAACAGAAAATTTATTACACAGGGCCTAGAACATAAGAAAACGGTGATCTTCTAACCCCATCAGCTCAAGCACAAAATTATTTCTAAGTATTTTGTTAATCAGGACAGAAAAAACAATGACCAAAAAATGTTTACTCAAAATAATATAGAACAAACAAAACAGCATTAATGGTAAGTGCTTAAAAATGATTACTTAACTTTTATTTCTTTTGTCGCAGATTGGTGTATGGTAAATATTTTCAGTGACGATCAGAGGACGTTCATCTTTTTTTCATACAAGCGCTGTGACATTCATCCTTTTTTCCCTGCACGGCAAGTTTTCAATTGGGTATAACTACGAACTGCCTTTGTCTTCGCGTGTTTCCGATACCTCGTCAGATTGTGCTGCGCTAAGACTACATGTTGCCGGTTCTAACTACAAAATTTATGACATTCATCTTTTTTCCCCTGTACCCATTACATTTTCATAGCTGATTCGTGTACATCTAGTGCATACGTGCCCAGACAAAATACATGATTCACACTCTTAGATTGTTTGGTAAATCCAGAACCACCAAATGTTAATAACACCTGAAACTTGTCCTGTGGCTTTCTTGCTGATAATACTGGTAGTTATATGAAACCACATATGCTTGAGATACTACTTACAGACGACGACGTTTTGGACACCTCGGTGGAAGTATAATTGGCAATGGTGGCTCTAGCGTCGCGCTTCAGGCATATGTGGTTCGACTTCGCGACAGTCTGTCAATAGCTGAAACAAGGGGTTTGGTTTTGTATGTGGTGGGACAACCAAAATTAGAGATTTAGTCCTGCCTTCATAGGAGAAGGTGGTCCAGTTTATAGTTAACTTCTCTGTCTCCTCATCCCTCTCCTCATTTATTATGTGGATGGTTTCTGGGGTGTATATCTACTACTTCACTTTACTCATGTTTGATTATTTTAACTAAGCTTTCAATAAACGAGTTGTCGCACAAGTGTGTATTCTTTGAGGAGTCAGATATCAAGCTCTTCTTAATGCAGGACTGAATGAATTATGGAATTAGAGGAATACCGGCAACCATGAGGAGCCGGAACATAGGCCACTTAAGCGGGAGTATCCCCTGAGTCCCAGCTCCCTAACGTTATAGGAATCTAAAGTGATGGACCCCAGTATAGTCTGCCTTTAGTAGCTCAAAGCCTCACAGCGACACAGAACATGCGCCGAGGTCTCTTCCTCTATCCCGCAGCGCTCACACAAGGGAACATCAGCCACCCGTATCACTTGCAGGTGGCGCCTCACCGTATTGTAGCCGGACAACAGTCCCACCAGCGATCTTAGGTTGGCGCTATTCAAAGATAAGCAAAAGCTTCAGCACTGGGCTCTACGATGAGCTCCCTTGCCTGAAAAGAAGGCTTGACGGGCTTGTCTTGCCAACCTTCTTTGGGACTAGATTCGTTTTACGCCAGTCAGTAAAATATCTAGGAATTATCCTGGACTGTAAACTGAACTGGAGAGGGCACGTTGAATTTAAGGTTAACAAGGCTCGGAATTCATTGTGGGCCTGTAGACGCGTTGTTGGTGTTAGGTGGGGGCCCAAACCCAACGTGGCTTACTGGCTCTACATGACAGTAGTACGTCCTCTCTCTTGTATGGCTCCTTGGTTTGGTGGCTTTGCATTGGGACTGAGACGAATAAGGCTAAATTCAATAAAATTTAGCGACTGGCTTGTAGCCTAGTGCGGACATCGCCATTGAGGGCAATAGAAACTCTGCTGGATCTCCCGCCATTGGATCTAGTGATACGCGGAGATGTGAGAGTAGTCGCACATCGACTGTGGAGTCAGAGCAGCTGGGTCTTCTTGAATCCCGTCAAGGGTCATACTGCCATCCTGGTCGAACTGCAAAGGGAGGATCCTGTCCTTCTGAGCAGGGACAATGTAGTTATCCCTAAGTATCGCTTCAACCGCATGTTTAATGTGGATTATCCAACGAGGGTGGAGTGGGACACCGGCTACTGGAGGCTCGCTGGAGTGAGTGGGCAAGTCTGGTACACGGGCGGCTCGGTCACCGAAGAGGGCTCTGGCTCAGGGGTCTCGGGGTCTAAGGACAAGGCTATCTCTGCCTCTTGTTATCGTTGCGATTCTGGCTTGTGTATCCCTCATTTTAGAGAGGGTGGGCCTAGGAGAAGGATAACAATCTTCTCCGACAGCCAGGCTGCAATGAAGGCACTAAGTGCCTGTAAGATTACTTCCAGCATTGTGCTGCAATGCAGGGATGCTCTGTATTGTCTAACAGCGAGGTACCCGGTATCGTTAGTGTGGTACCGGGGCACGCTGGGATAAAGGGCAATAAGACGGCGGACGCTTTGCCGAATACAGGATCAGCCAGCAAGTTCGTTGGTCCTGAGCCAGCTTTGTGGGTGCCCGCGCTAAGATTTAGGAGGAAAACGGAGAAGTGGATTGCAAGACAACACTCTCATAAAAGGAGAAGCATCTCCAGATACCTACGTCAGGCACGGGAACTCATGGCAGGGCCCAACGCTAAGGACGGACGTTTCTGCTTATCTTTGGATAGAGCCAACCTAAGGTTGCTGGTGGGACTGTTTTCTGGCCATAACACATTATGGCGCCACCATGACGGGGGTGGCTGAGGGTCCCTTGTGTGAGCGCTGTGGGTTAGAAGAAGAGACCTCAACGCACGTTCTGTGTCGCTGTGAGGCTCCTAGCTACTACAGGCGGACTACACTGGGGTCCACCACTTTGGACCCCCAGAATATTAAGGAGCTTGGGCTCAAGGCCATACTCAACTTCGCTAGAATGGCGAGGCTTGAGGTCTAAGAAATGTGGAGGTGCACAAGTGCCTGTCTGAGTAGCCTATCCGCTGGCTCCTTAGGGTGGCCGGTATGCCTCTAATTTCGTGTTTTCATTCATTCATTCCCTTGCCTGTCGGAGATGTCTAGAGATGATTTTCTATTTGTCTTGAAATCCTCCTCTCCAGTTTCATCCTGGATCTTTGCGCGGGCACCTCTAAGACTGACTGAGGACCAACCAGCTTACTTGCTGATCCTACTACCGCAAGAGCGTCCGCCATATCATTGCCCTTTATTCCAGCGTGCCCCAGTATCCAGACTAACGATACTGGATGCCCGCTGTTAGACTATCCAGAGCCTACCTGCATTGGAATACAGGGCTCGAAGTAATCTTGCAGGCACTCAGTGCCTTTATCGCAGCTTGGCTATGGGAGAAGATTATGAACCTTTTCCTAGGACCTTTTCCTCAAAAATGATGGATCCGCAAGCCAGAATCGCTAATATTGTGTACCAGCCCAGAAGCAGATAAAGTCTTGTACTAGGCCCAAAGTTTCTGGCGCTAGAGCGCTTTTCAGTGAACGAGTCGTCTATGTACCAGACCTGCCCACTCCCTTTGGACACCTTCCGGCGTCCAGAGTCCAATTGCCCCCTTGGAGACTCCTAAACTTGCGGTTAAGGCGATATTTAGGGGTGATCAGATCACCTCTGCTTAGAAAGATAGGATCCTCCCTTTCCAGTCTGTGTAAGGTGGCGGTCTGACCCTTGGCATGATTCAAAAAGGCCCAGCTAGCCTGACTCCACAGTCGGTGTACGACTACTCCCGCCTCTCCACGTCCTTCTTAATATCACCCCTTTTCTCATCGTGTCAATTGACGCCATAAGGGTTTAATGTCTTTTTAGATATTTCTCCATTCCAGCGCTTAACAGCTGGAGCCAGCTGTTCTCAGGGAAAGGAAAATGTCCCAAGTTTATCGCACCACCCTATATCTGTTCCTGATATCTCCCGACCGATGTGTGTATGACTATAGTGTATTCCAATACATGATTGGCACAATGCTTCAATTCATAATTTGAACACACGCCAAAATGTACTTACTCGCTTGAAATATTGACGCTACACATGTTGGGGAGGTTTCAAAGTATGAAACTGTGTTCGTATACCGCTAGAATTATGAAGCAGCTGCTATATACGATTGATTCCAGTAGTAGAAAACAATGGATAAATAGTAGTTTGCCATCCATCCCATTTCAATCAATATGCGATTACGCAAGCATGACCAACGATGTAAAAAATTAACTCGGACACGTGTAAAATGCCATTCGGCGATTTTTCAAAGCGAATACGAACCGAACTAACGATCGGCGTGTCGACTGGCGCCGCTGAACAAAATGAACGTTTAATACTTGTTAAAATGAAAAGTGTGCCATTCAGTAAAACCGTTGTACCTGTCAGTGTAAAATCAGGTTTAAATGTAAAATCTCGCCAAATCAGATTAACGCACTTTTTCAATATGGCAGCTTGCTGCTAAATCAGATCGTCCACGATATGAAATAGCCTAGATGATAAAGGCAATGGCTTAGGTGGACGGGCAGATGGTTAGTTCTAGACCTAAAAGCAACTCTGCATTACTTAAT